TTTTCTCATGGTGACAAGTTTCGTATTGCTGATCTTCAAGAAGCCATTCATTCTTGCAAACAAGGTGATTCCACTGTATCTCAATATTATACTCGTCTTCAAATAATTTGGAAAGAGCTTTCTCTATATCAAACCATTCTTGTATGTACCTGCCATTCTCCCTGCAATTGTGGATTGTTAATCAAGATTCAACAAGATCGTAATGATGATTCTGTAATCAAGTTTCTCCGTGGGTTAAATGATGAATTCTCTTCTGTACGTTCTCAAATCATGCTAATGGAACCCATGCCAAATCTTACCAAAACCTTTTCTTTGATTCTTCAACAAGAACGTGAATTTCATAATTCGTCCTCACAAACTCCACAAGATTCTATGGCCAATTTCAATTCTTACGATCCTCAACACAAGCCTTATAAGACCGATCGTTCTGGTACTTTTTCTGGTCGTGGACGAGGACGCATCACTAAATTTGGTGGTCGTTCTAAATATTGTGATCATTGCAAAAGAACTAATCATACTTCTGATAATTGCTGGATCAAATATGGCCTTCCTCAAGGTTATAAACCTGTCATCAAACCTCATTTAGCTATCTCCAATTCTTCTGCCAACATGACCAATGGTGATTCACACACCTCCACTGATACTTCTAATGATGATTCTTCTGCTGATCAAACTCAACCTCAATACACTTTTTCTCAAGATCAGTATAACGCCATTCTTGGTTTATTGAAGCAATCTCAATCTCCTACTACTAGGGAGGCCAGTGTTAATCAATGTACTCCACAGTCATCAGGTTCTTTTTCTTCACTTAATCTTTCTCCTTGGATTATAGACAGTGGCGCTACTGATCATATATGTTCTTCTAATTTTCTTTTTCATTCTTTACATCCCATCACTCTCATTTCAATACGTTTACCAAATCACACTTTTGTTACTGCTGAATTTTCTGGCACTGTCATTTTAGGCAATTTGATTCTACATAATACTCTTTTTGTTCCTAATTTCTCTGTTCATCTTATTTCTATTTCTAAATTGTTACATTCAAATCTTTTCTTCATTGTTTTTCATCAGAATAGCTGTCTCATTGTGCAGATGGATACTTACCAGACGATTGGAGTAGCTAAGAAATACAAGGGTCTTTTTTATCTTCTTAGTAATAATGTCACTGCTACTTCTGAATTGAATATTTCTCATTCTACTCTTCATAACAGTACTAATGATTCTTGTAATTTGTGGCACATGAAACTTGGACATCCTTCAAATAAAGTTCTTCAAAGTTTAGCCTCTCAATATAGTGATATTTCCTTTCAATCTTTTGATGCTTGTGACGCCTGTGCTTTTGCTAAACAAAAACGTCTAAAATTTTCTGTTAGCAAAACCAAATCTGCTTGTTTCTTTCATCTAATTCATGTTGATATTTGGGGCCCCCTTTCTATTTCTTCTATTGATGGATACAAATATTTTTTAACTATTGTTGATGACTATAGCCGTTTTACATGGATTCTTCTTTTAAAACAAAAATCTGATGTTAAAAACTTACTTCCAAAATTTATTCTCTTAACTGAAAATCAGTTTTCCTGTAAGCTTAAAATTCTAAGGTCTGATAATGGCAAAGAATTTTTCCTTAATGACTTTTACTCTACTAAAGGTATTTTTCATGAAACCTCTTGTGTTGCTACTCCCCAACAAAATGGCATTGTTGAACGGAAGCATCAACATATTCTTAATGTTTGTCGTTCTCTCCTTTTTCAATCTAAAGTTCCTAACATTTTCTGGTCTTATGCTATCAAACTTGCTATTCACATTATTAATAGACTTCCCACACCTTTTCTTTTCAATAAATCTCCTTATGAATTAGTTTATTCCATCAAACCTGATTTTTCAAATCTAAAAGTTTTTGGATGCTTATCATACTCTAGCTCTGTTACTGCAGGACGTACAAAACTTGATTCCCGAAGCATTAAATGTGTTTTTCTTGGATATAAATCTGGAACCAAAGGGTTTGTGCTGTATGACTTGTATTCTCATTCTATTATCATTTCTCGAAATGTCATTTTTCATGAAACTATTTTTCCCTATAAAAATTGTTCTACTTCCCCTTCCTCTCCTACAAATGATGATAATTCTGATGTTACTCTCTTTGATTTTCCTACTGTTCTACCTTTTTCCACTACTCCAAATCACTCACCTTGTAACATTTCTCATCCTACTGATAATATCCTTAATTCTACTATTGAACAACGAATTTCTCTTAGAAATAAAACTCGACCTAAATATCTAGATCATTACTACTGTGGTGTTACTTCTGCTATTTCATCAACTCCTACTACCCCATATCCCATGCATTTGTTTCTTTCCTATAATAATTGTTCCTCTAACCACACTTCTTTTTGTCATAATATTTCTGCTCAAGTTGAACCTTCCTCTTTTAAAGAAGCTAGCAAGTTTGAATGTTGGCAACAGGCTATGAATTCTGAACTTGCTGCTCTTGAAAGAAATCACACATGGACTTTGGTTAATCTTCCTATTGGACAGAAACCTATCAGTTGTCGTTGGGTATATCGTATTAAACACAAACCGGATGGTTCTATAGATAGATATAAAGCTCGTCTAGTGGCAAGAGGCTTCACTCAAACTGAAGGATTGGATTACTATGAAACATTTTCACCTGTTGTTAAAATCACCACAGTTCGGCTCGTTCTTGCTCTTGCTGCCATCAATAAATGGTTTCTTCATCAATTGGATGTCGACAATGCTTTTCTCCATGGTGATTTATCTGAAGATATATACATGAGGCCTCCTCCCGGTCTCCGATCATCTACTCCCAATCTTGTCTGCAAACTTCAAAAGTCTCTTTATGGTTTAAAACAAGCTAGCAGGAACTGGAATCATAAACTCACATCTGAATTGGTTTCTCTTGGTTTTAAACAAAGCACTGCTGACCACTCTCTTTTTATCAAACACTCTCCTACTGCTATCACTGTTATTCTGCTATATGTTGATGATATACTTCTTTCTGGAAATAACCTGTCTGAAATCACCACTGTCAAAGATCACCTACACAACAAATTTCACATTAAAAATCTTGGAGATCTTAAATTTTTTCTGGGTTTTGAAATTGCTAGATCTCAAGCTGGGATATGTATTAATCAAAGAAAATATTGTCTTGAGTTAATCTCTGAAGCTGGTATGTTAGGTTGTAAACCTGCTTCTACTCCTGCTGATCCCTCTATCAAACTTCATGCTGATGAGGGCCCTCTTCTCACTGATCCTTATTCTTATCGGCGTCTTATTGGTCGTCTTCTTTATCTCACTCATACACGGCCCGACATTACTTTTGCTGTTCAACAACTTAGTCAGTTTATCTCCACTCCTCGCCAACCTCACATGCAACAAGCCATGAGAATTATTAGATACTTAAAGAATGCCCCTGGTTCTGGTCTATTATATGCTGCAAATAATTCTTTCCGCATTCACGCTTATTCTGACTCTGATTGGGCTACCTGTGCTACCACTAGAAGATCCATCTCTGGTTTTTGCGTTTTTCTTGGAACTGCTCTTATCTCCTGGAAATCAAAGAAACAAACCACCGTTTCCAAATCTTCTTCTGAAGCCGAATACAGGTCTTTGGCTTCCTTAACCTGTGAATTACAGTGGCTGCAATATCTTTTAAAAGATTTGCATATACCATGCCCGACACCTTATTCTGTTTACTGTGACAACAACTCTGCTATTCACATTGCCAAGAATCCTACTTTTCATGAACGAACTAAGCATATTGATATAGACTGTCATGTCACTCGACAAAAGCTTCAAGATGGTCTCATCAAACTCCTGCATGTTTCCTCTACCCATCAAGTTGCAGATGTTTTTACCAAATCTCTTTATCCTTCTCCTTTCAATATGGTCACTTCCAAGCTAAACATGCATAACATTCATGTTCATCTTGAGGGGGGATGATAGAGTTATTATGGTCGTTCGTCCTTATCTGTTTGTTGTCGATCGTTATTTTGGTCGTTCGTCCTCATATGTTTGTTGCCGCTCGTCTTTGTGCCTGTCGCTTACACTGTTCGACAGGAACGCTCGCATCATGCCTGTCGTCCATCCTGCTCGACAGGAACGCTCGTCTTTGTTCCTGTCGCTCACATTGCTCGACAGGAACGCTCGCATCATGCCTGTCGTCCATCCTGCTCGACAGGAACGTTCTTCCTTGTTCCTGTCGTTCACATTGCTCGACAGGAACGATCGTCATCGTGCCTGTCGTTCACACTGCTCGACAGGAACGCTCGCTTCGTGCATGTCGTCCATCCTGCTCGACAGGAACGCTCGTCCTTGTGCTCTGACGTTCGTTTCCGTCTCGTTCGTTTCTTTTTGTCTTCTTATTACCGATCGTTCCCTTTTTAGGACGTTCGGTCTAGGAAGTTTCTTTTGTTTTCTTTTCTTTCTGTATATATTTCTTTTCCTTGTTGTTTTTTGTCTGTAATTTTTCATAATACAATTCTTTCCGCTTTGCTCTCTGGTTCTTCCTTTCTCTTTTCTCTGTTTTCTTACATTGGGGGATCAGAGAGCTCGGGAGTAAAAATTAAAACAAGAGATGACCCTACCACTATTTATAGATGGTGATAGTAGTTCAACAAGCCCATCTGGAACGTCCAAAGGAAAAAGATCTGACAGTTAAAACG